AATGAGGATTCACCAGAGACAGAGTGGGGAGCAGAACAGCAGATCCACTGAAGTACACTGCTGAGGGGAGCAGCCTCTGTCGTGCCCTGTGGGTCACTCCTGGCCAAGCTCTCCATAGGTTGGTAGTGCTGAGACTTTAGCGCCTGTGACACCAGGGAAGCCCGGAAGAATTAACTTACGGCACACACTCGGGCCCATGTGACAAGCTCCTTGCGCAGAGGCACTGTGAGAGCACTGATGCGTCCAGAGCCAAGCTTGGACGAACCCCTGTCTGTCGGGCATCGTGCTAAAACAAGTCAGATCTCATGTGACCCAAGTCACACATCAAAATAAACACACTTTCTTCCTGTTCACTATTTACTTCATAATGGTGATTTACATACATCAGCAATGAATTAGTTCGAACCACTTCTGGGGCCGGTCAGCTCCTGACCTCCATGGCTACACACAGCGGAGGTTACTCCAGCTAAGGTAACATCCCAGGGCTGCCCTGGAGTCCTAGGTCCTTCTGTCTCGGGTCCCCTCTCCTCCAGGGTTTTAGAGTTCTCTCCACTCCACTGGGGGATTGGAAGAAAAAAAAAATGGAGAAGAAGAAATCAGGACCAGATTTCAGCACCTTAATTCTGCTCAAACTCGGTGGGCGAGAAAGACTGGGAAAGGCAGTCCTGGCTGGGCCCGCTGTTCCTGCCGACACTTTGTCACGGAAAAGGGTGACAGGATTTCTACGTTGGCTCTCCATCTCTGCCCATCATCTTGCCCGATAGCAAAATGATAATGCTTCTCCGAACATTTGATCCACCAGGTAAGTCAGTGACTAGTTGTTGGGCTCAAGAAATGACTTTAACTAAGAAGGTGTAGGGGGTTACTAGTCAGACAAACAGGACATCCCTGTCAAATGTGGGACTTTTACAACACTGCCTGGGTCGCCAACGGTCCCCAGCCCAGCAGCAGTACAATATGGGGCCAGATTTTTAATCCTCTCTACACTTGGGGTCCTCAACAGTCTCGGTGGGGGACAGACACAAAGAATGACCTACATTTAAGTGTCGTTTGCACCTACCAGCCCTCTCCTGGGTGAAGCAAGGAGCTTGTTTCCTGTGGGTGGGGAGGCAGCAACAGGAGTGGTCGCCCAGAAGTTCGTCCTAAAGCGGAGAAGTTGCTGCTCGCGTGTGGCTCCTCAGCCTGCTCTTGAGACGTGCGTGCCATCTGTGGCGGGAGTTTGTTGTGCAGCTTCCTCTGTCGCCATCTCTACCACAGGTAGCATCTGACACTTCGCAGTGGGACTGTTTCCAGTGCAGCCAGCAACAAGCTGGCTCTCTAGCGCCACCGCCAGGAAGCCTGGATTCAAAAATCCCAGGGCCCCCACACGGTGGCAGCATTACAGGCCGGTCAAAGGCTTCACTTCCACAGCCTGTGCCCACCCATCAGCTTCACGCAAGATGGGGGTCTGTCCCCAAAACCCCTCACAGCCCGAAAACGCTTTAACACACCAAACTTACTGAACATCACAGCCTGCCTTAAACGTGCTCAGGACGCTGACAGCCTCCAGTGGGCAAACTCATCTAGTACGAAGAGTAGTTGATACAGTGTTGAGTATCTTGTATAATTACTGAACAATTCTCCTATAGGGTCTGTCCACGTGCTGCCAGACCCTTAGCAGAGGGCCTGTCACATTTCCGTCTGTATTTCCCCTTACTCCTGGCTTTTCACAAAACGTCAGTCATATACATGCCTCTACTTGATTCAGCGCTTAGTTACCTGTTTTGGCTACCATTTCACCTCGCCCTCTGGCTGTCTTCTGGAGCACTAAGCTCTCTTTTCATTGGTCAGACCCACTCCTTGTAGCCATGAGATCTGCCTTGGCACGCTGTTCTCTCACTTTGGGAATCATGTGGGGAGCACACACAGAAGGGGGTCCCCCTAATCACCACTTCTACACAGTATCAAACATAGTTTCAGGGTGGTACAAGACAGATCATCACAAAGCCGAACAGGGCAGTCATCATCCTTAATATTTCAAATGCCTCCACAGAAGTAACCCATTTTACTGTTACTTGAAGAGTGCAAAGTTTTCCTTCTCTGCACAAACTTGCAGAATTTCAGGCTTTAAACACCCCAAAAGGGAATGTATGGATCAAATACTGAACACTGCAACCAGCCGTTGATTAACAATCGTACCAAGCAACTCTCCATCAAGGGGTCTCACACTATACTCAACACTGCCTTGCACTGTCAAGAATTCAAGAAACCTCCTAGCACTACTCAAAGTGCACCCAAACTCCATTTCACCGTAGCCTTTGTTTTCCAGGTGGGCGCACCTGCTAATGCCAAGAAGAAGCACAGGTAAGTTCAGGTCCTACCTGCTTGAAGCCAGATTTCTAATCAGATTTGGCCAGCCACATGGACAAAATCAAAGAGAGCAAGACACTAGCTTCCCTGAGGGACAGAGCTGTGTACCTCTGCCAGTTTGGACAAATGGCTGGTGGGAAGAGCAGGCGGTCGCATGCCTGTGACACGGTCACACACAATGACCCTGCTTCCGACAGATGCAGCTCAACTCGCTCTCCTGGGAATGTGGGTGGGGTGTGTCAACAGGCAGCATGGGGGCAAGAAGAGTCCTCTGCTCACAACACAGACGACCACAAGCCTTCCAGGGTTATCTCATTTCCATTATGTGATGAAGGGTCAGGGATAATGGCATGTGCACCTTTCACGTGCCTAGTATTTTTTTTTTAAATGTTGGCTGAAGTGCGGCTAAGTATGTCCCGCTGCTTCGATGTGTTAACGAACGAGGGAATATGCATAAACACGCTTACAAGGGAAATCCTGGAGAGCTGCACTGCAAACTAACACTGCCGCTCCTAGCAGGCCTGGGTGCACGACGAAGTTATTTCCAGTGTGAGTTGTTCTGTACTCACCTTTGCTCCCTGTTGCTCATTCTCCTGCAGCCACACTGGCCTCCCTGCCGTCCCCCGCACCGGGGTGCCAGCGCCTGAACGCTGTCTCCAGACCGCCAGGCGCTCGTCCTTCCTTCGGCCTGGACACAGCTGTGAGGTCCCCTCAACTCGGACACGCCCCTGTGGAACATCTCTCTGGGCAGCTGCCCGATACCCTCACTTACTGTGCGTTTAAAAACGGGACGCATTGTTCTTGGTATGCTGGTGGTGAGAGACACAGAGCGGTACACTTAGCATTTTAACCACGTGAAGTGCACCCTGCCGTCATTCGTATATTCTGGAACCATCACAGCTACCGCTCCAGGACATTTTGTCACTCCAAAGGAGCCCCCTATCATTAAGCAATGACTCCCCATTCTCCCTCCCGCAGGCTCCTCAGTACCCCTCACTTTCCCATCTCCTGCCCGATGAAATATTTACGTGTGGAGGACGACTCCCTTTCTGAACACTGCCAGGGGCGAGGGAGACAATCAACAAATAATTGTTGAATGAATGTGTTGTTTGACGTGGGATTTTGAAAAAATCATTCCGCCAAGGAAAATACTTGAACGAGCTGTTCGGCGTTAATTGTTAGAGGGAGGCAAAGTTCAACAATTCTCCACACCTAGGGCTGTCCTCCGTCACGTGTCGCCACGGGCAGTCCTTTAAGGTTAAGCTCCGTGTCCTCAACCGTGAAGTGAGGCGACTGACAATTACCTCACGGAATGTGCTTCACGGAAAGCACTTCTATAACCCTGGCTCTGGGAAAGTCCAAAATCACAGCGCCAGCGCTGAGGGAGCAGCGCCCCTCACTACCTGACAAAGACTTGAGGTTTGAGGTGAGAGGCGCCTCAGGAACTTAGCCCTGAGACCAAGCTTTCGCGCCAGGAGTGTCTCCAGTCGTCGTTGCCAGGGAAACCGCCCGCGTCCCCAGATGCGTTCGGGTTGACCTCCTGACTCATTGGCGGAGCGCGGACCAATCGGAAAAGGCAGCGGATCGGGGGCGGGGCCGGGCAGGGGCCCGGGGCGGGTGTTCCCGCGGCCCCGCCCCCGACTTCCGGGTCGCGGTGCTTGCAGGGAACCCTCCGCGGCCGCGTCGTTTCCGCTGCCGGCTGTTTGCAGTTGGGGAAACCGAGGCAGTCCGGCTCCCCCTAGTTCTTCCGCTGCAGTGAGGTGGCTGCTGTTTCTTTTCCTCTCGCCCCGCGCTGCGTCGGTGCGGCTGCGCCGAGGGCGCGCGGGCTGCGCGAGC